CCCCCCCCCCCCCCCCCCCAAACCATTCAGATAGATGGTGCGGTATGTAAAGAAAGAAAAAATCTAAAAATGGAGAAATTAAGCTTCATCTAAAAGATGGAGACATATTAAAGAGGGCTTATTGGTGAGGACTTATGACAATGTTTATAGTGACGCGTTTATATGTTTTACATAAACTATTTGTAGCAAACGAGATCACATAAACGCTTGCTACAGAGGCTACATATACATGATTATATTCAATAATATATTATATTCAGCCAAAAAAATTAAACCCCGTTTACACTACGCTCAATTGTTGGTACGGCACGGATAAAATTGGTACCCGTATACCACTTTTTTGGTTCTTTGGTTCAAGAACCAAAAAGTGGTCCCAAAATTGAGCGTAGTGTAAATGGGGCTTTATATAGTGACATAATAAAATACTTACTTGTACCGAGACGTTTTCGTCCGTGCTATCTCACTGAAAGCATCTTCAAATACCTCTTCACTATAGTGTTCCCCAATTAATCGCGTCTGAGATTTGCACTCGGCTGCGTTTAAAACATTTGTTATGAGTTTGAGCGCTTCTGCGTCAAAATACCGTGGACATGTTTTGTTGTTAACACTAGTTTCGCTCAAATCAACTGATCTCTCGATGACCATATCATCAGCTTGAAAACAGGGTATTTGACGCTCTCGTATTTCTTCCATTAATTTCAGAGGAAGAATGTCAGTCTCCAAATCCTTTTTCCACGTAAGTACTTTTGCGTCATGGTCCTTTCCCATTCTCTTCTGCAAACCAATAGCACTTTCAGGATGCATGCATATACCAAGGTGAAAGAGACGAAGACTAGCCTGATAGCTTAACCCACCATGGTAGAGAACAACAGAAATACGGTACGCAATTGCAGACATTGTCCTGTTTCTTGCTCGTGCGGCAACCGATGTAGCAAGAACGATAGAGTTGGTAACCGGCTTTCCGGGAGACTCGTTCACTTTAACTCCACATGCACCGCGAATGCAGGCATTCCAGATTGGGAGATACAAAGAAGTTTCTTCTAAAACGAGTTTATTAGAAAATGTTTCCAACTGCCGAGGGTCCGTGCCTTTTAGCACAGAATCTGATTTGCTAAGGTTTTTGAATTCTTCCGATACTTTTCGGCCTACAACAGGAGCCAGTTCCAGTAATATTTTCTCATGCTTAACGATCGCGTTTGCGACTGCTTTCCATCGTTTAAGAACTAGGTTTTTAACCATATTCGCTATGTCTCTGTCTGGCACAGTTCTCAAAGTTACACCGCACGGTCGTACAAGTAATACCTTTATTTCAGTCTTGGGAGAATCGTTAAATTCCTCGATGTTAAGCAAGTTAAATTCTTCATCTTCGCAATGCTTTCCCGCTTTGTCAGTGAACGACAATGTTCGTCTTTGAATGTTGGATTTCGGACGTGACGCTTTCTGTTCTGATTTCTGTTGCTTGCGATGGGCAGGGCTTCTTTCGGGTGTTACAGAAGTTGGTAATTCACGTTTATAGCGATCGCTCCCAGGCGACGAATTTGTAGTATTACCAAACTGCTCGTGTGCTTGGTTTATAGATTCTTTTAATTGCTTACAAAATAAGCCTAGATTGTGTATCTTCCTCCCACAACTTTTGCAAACGCGATTTGACAGACAGTCGTTGTATTTTGGATTAAAACCGCAGACAGATTTACATAAAGAAGCCAACAAAACGTTTGTACCGTCAATATTCTCCTCCTTATTGAATTTAAACCATGCAATCTTTTTGAGCTGAAACGAACACTTACAGACACGACAAAAATCGTCTGGAACTTTTTCTGATGGCTTTGTTTTAGATCTTGTAACTTTCTTTGTTGGTGTATTTACATTCATAGCGCTCATGTTCAAAATACGATTATTGTAAAATATTGCGGGAAATGTGTAAATGTAGAAAAAAACATTGCATGTTCTAAATATAAATCTCGACTATGATTGGATAATGGATGAATTCACTAATTACAAACGTCAATCATCCTTAATGGGCGAAAACACATTTGACAAAGCCATTTGGGCAGGCGTTCCCTCAGTACCCGCCCGTCAGCTAAACGCCTGCTACGCAGGCTAGGTGTTCTGCTGATAATTCTTTACCAAACAATTTAAGACGAACGTTCGCTGAATTGCAGAATACTTTTGTGATAAAATAAAATGTAAAAATATGAAAGAAATGTAAAAGTATTTTAGTTCTCAAATCAGTGCTTCCACTGTCAAAAAATAATTTCCTTCCCAATTGCTCAAAATTTCCCTTTTTTGACAAAATTCCTTGCACTAAAGTTGATGAATTTTGCCTAGTTTAAAACTCGTATCAATTACAATAATTTTTATTATTATTATTATTATTATTTGGTGTTTAATTACACATTTTCGCATAAACAATGAATTACAATGTGTTTACATTCAAAGTCAAATTTAGTTAATAGTTATTTACACGGTCATAAAATTTAAGGTAAAATAGGTTACGAATATTATTAATATATATGTTAAGATCGAATAGTAAGTTAAGAATATTGTTAAAATTTAATAATTTAATCTAAGGTAGGTTCCTTTCTCTATTTCATGGCATTCAGTTCAACAATTGCTCTTGGAAAGAAACTGTTTTTAAAGCGTTCAGTTCTGCATTTATACAATGACAGATTATTTAAGTTTCTAATATAATATTGTTGAGCACAAGCTCTGGATTGTGTCACGTGTTCAACAAGGGGGCCTGCTCGTTTAGCAATCTTCTGTAAGGTATTTACACAGGTTTCGTTTCGCCTGTCGCTAAGTCTTGTGCAATTAGCCAATTGAAGAGCTTCGTCGTATGGGTGGCCAGGAAAGATAATGCGCATGGCATGCTTTTGTACTCTTTCCAGTTCGTCAGACAGATAGCGAGGTATCGCGTAATTCCATACCTCACAACAATATTCCAGAATAGAACGAATAAGAGCGAAGTATATGTTGGTAAGATCAGCAGGAGGGACACCACCGCGGCATAATACGCGAAGACCGTATAACCGTTTGGAGGCCTTGGTGACGATTGATCGAATTTGCTCGTCCCATTTAAGATTGTTTTGAATAATTAAACCCAACACTTTGTGCGATTGTACCGTTGTACCACGTAACCATCAATTGT